ATTGAGGGTAAACTTATTAGAAAAGGACAGAAATTAATATTAAATATTATTCTATTTATTTATTATGTATTAGAGTGGCAAGAAGATATGAATCCGCCAGTTCATTCAACGCCACGTACGTATATTTGCCCTTATTCACCGGGATTCATTATTTCCTATATTTCTGTCAACCAAAACCATTTGTTGCTTTTTACTTTTTTTGATCAAGATTTATTAAACATGACGGTGGTAAATTAACAACAAACATAATGATATTGCAAATTTCAGGTACAGACTGTGCTAAACGTCCAGTTGATGAATATTTTCAGGAAGAGTATTCCGAAATATCTGGTATATCTTTTGTCATCTGTTTGATGCTTGGAATATGTTACTAAAGATTTGACACTTTTTAAAATCTATTTCCCAACAGCTACAAGTCAATCACTCTTAAAATATATACAACAAATTAGATTTGACGATTCATTCGAGTTGGGCTATTCTGATCCTTCTGTAAGTTTTACCCACACCTTTCTTGCAAGTTCGTTGTTTTGAAGACATTGTTCGTCACACTGTTGTTTAATTTTTAGTTTTCTTATGCAAGAACGGATCAAGATGAAAACATTGTGAGGGATTTTAAGCTATGTGGACTTCAACAAAGCGGTGTCAGTTTCAGTTATCGACAAATGGTCTATGGCGCACTTCTACGGGTAAAATGAAAGGAAAAAATACTGATTCCCCTCCCAAGGATAAAGTATTATATTCGCAAATTTCTTCCCATTGAAGGTGCAAGTCGCGTCAGATACTTCAACAGAAGCCTTGCACCTCGCCATAGCCTACGCGGACCGATACACCTGGCTTCAAACAACATATCCCTTAGGGTTCGAGTCAATGGCACATGGAGCTTTGTGGTTGGCGGTTAAGGTCTTGACACCCGAGACACCCATCATAGGCCCATTAATGGAAGTCATGGCTTCAGAACGCTTCACTGTGGAAGAGGTCTCTGCACCGCCCTTTCTAACCTATCCTTACCACTACCGACGCAGTGACAATCCTCACAACTGGTTTGACTTTTGTAGATAGAAGACTGGGCGGAACAATTGCGACTTATCCTCGGTCCCGATCTTCACTATCCAACTCCACACTCCTACCTCGATAAATTCCTGGCAAAGTGTGGCGACTTTCCACCCTGTCACATCAAATTAGTAATCTTAATTCTTTTACCGATTTTTTTGGGCCTTAAATACATGAGTACGAATTTCTAATTTCAATTTTCTCCAGTTTACTACGATTTGTTACTACCTACTTGACTTGGGGCTGATGGAGTACGATTTAGCCCGACGACCGGCGTATTTGCGTTGTGCAGCCGTAGTCTACGTCCTTCGTCGCCTACTTCGATGCACCGGCTATGTTTTGGGTGGATCACCTTCTTATCACCAATATGATATGTTGAATTATTGGCCAATGGAAGTAGAAAGATACTCGCGATGCAAGGAGGATCGAGATCTCTACGAAACTGCCCTCGCATATGCCAAGTTAATGGAAGAGGCCAAGAAATATCAATACCAAGGCTCGCAAATTCCTCTCATTCTCTTGGTAATTTTTATACACTCAATTGATAATATTCTCGTTGTATTAACTTCTAATCAATTTACTTACATTAAGACCGTGTTTCTTCATACACACCGAGGTTCAGGATAAGGGAAACTAAATGATAAAGTCCGCATTCCACCTTATATTATTAATCAGTGATTTTTTGACACCTCGCTTACATTCAGCCTATAATTGAAAAATACATGGATTGGGCGTACAGCCGAGTGGCTGCTAATGCCCTGGTGACGAACTTTGACCTCGAAGAAGTTATGTGCCCAAACGGAGCGGAAGAAATGACTCCCCTCCTCCGAGAGCCAAAATAAAAATAAAAAGTAAACAATTTCACAACTCTCTTCTTTTGCAATCAAAAATGGTGAACAATCATTTACCTCTTCATCAGTACCTGGAAAATGAGGTATAGCTTTATCCTTATATTTCATTTAATTCAAATAAACCTCTTGCCAAATGCGTATCTTATACTCCTGGTGATAAATTGGGGTGTCACGGCAAAGTGACTTACGGCCATGAAGCACATCGCCAATTGTTCCACGAACAGACAAGTCAAAGTCGCGTTGGAGAGGTAGCTGGAGCACTTCATCTCTGTTTCCTTCACTCGCCATATGCTCAATTCTAACCAATGCATACTGAGGGCTTTCCACTCCTGCTTCCATTCCATCTCCACTTATTGAAGAGGGCGATTTGCTTTGCGGTACCACGTAGGCGCCGTGTGATTACCATCAGGCAGTTGGAAT